AACCGCGCCTGTCCCGCTCCGCCCAGTGACGTCACGCGCAGCGCTGGGCTGCGCCCCGCCCCGTCTCGTGACGTCACACATCGCGCCAAACGACACCGGTCCCGCTCCGCCCTGTGACGTCAAACACCGCGCAGGGCTGTGCCCCGCCCCGTCGCGTGACGTCACGGCCCGCCATGGCCGCGCCGTTGTTCCGGGGTATCCCCGCGCAGCCCGCGCTGTGTGAGCGGGGCGCGCCCCGAGCGCCCTTCTGTGCTTTATGAACTGCCTGAATAATAACAGACTGCTTTGGGTTCGAAAGATCATCCAGTCCCACCCCTCCTGCCATGGGCAGGGACACCTTGCACTATCCCAGCTTGCTCAGAGCCACATCCAGCCTGGCCTGGAACACTGCCAGGGATCCAGGGGCAGCCACAGCTTCTCTGGGCAACCTGTGCCAGGGCCTCACCACCCTCACAGGGAACAATTTGTTGATATGCAGTCTAAAACCACTCTCTGTCAGTGTGAAGCCATTGCTCCTTGTCCTGTCACTCCAGGCCCTTGTCAAGAGTCTCTCTCCATCTTTCCTGGGGGTTCCCTTCAGGCACTGCAAGGCCCCCGCCAAGCTTCTCTTCTCCAGGCTGAACAATCCAAATTCCCTCAGTTTTAAGGATTCCTTAATGGCAATGTTTATCCAAAAAGCTGGGCTGTGCAATAAGGTAACAATGTTTGAGCCAGGCTCCCTTAAATTTTGGTTTACACCAATGTGTGAAAATCAATGACTAATAACAACATGTATCTTTGTGTCCAATGTGAAACACTTCAAATCTCTTTAATTAACATGTCTTCAGTGATTCCTAGATAGTTTCTCCTTAGAAAAGCAAGAAAGATGTATGCTTGGCAGTCCTAAAAATAAAATAATAAAAAAAAGTCCTCCCTTGTCCTCTAGGCTCACACAGAGAGCCCCCTGTGCGCCCAAGCAGGTGCTTTATTTCAGCCTCATGGTTTGCTGAGTGTGCAGCTGGCTCATCTGGCTGTGAGAACATACCGTAAGTCAATCATGATTTACTTATTCAACTTGGGAATTAGCACTGGTAAGTGAAAGAATATTAACAGACCAACCTAATGGTAAGAAGGTTGTGTCCAGGTATGCACATTTAGCTGCAGGGATGGAGTTATTTTTTCCTGGCATTTCTATGACAGGAACATGTCTGGCTCTGTAATCCTCATAGTTTTCTCTTTCAGGATGACAGCTGCTGCACCAGAAACTCCCCAGTAATCCTAGAGACTGTAACACCATTGGCTACAGAGAAGGACTCTGGGACTGAGAGGCTGAGGCTTAGGAAAAGGGAGGTAACTGAGACATGAAGGTTAGTATAACGTAATCCACCAGTTTAAGTATGTACTGCATTGCTTGTAGAAATAGCGGTGTGATAAATGCATTACATCATAGGTCTTAGCAAAACACAAAATGTTAAAACCCTCCTGTGTAACTAAAACAATGGTGTAAGGCAGTTATGCTTGTTTCCCCCACAGCTGCTGACAAACCCCTCTAAGTGGTAACAGTGACACAAACCAGAGCACCAGGGAAGAATTATAGAAGAACTCCTTATCAAGGAGTGTGAAACAATAGGACGGAAACACAAGAAGAAATAAAATATATGGACTTTGCTCACAGGATGTCATGCAGATAAGTCAGAGTGTAAAATCAAACAAAAGAGTTCCTGAAACATCAAGAAGCTCACAGGAATGTTTGAATAATGCATGAAATTCATGAATATGCATGTACCCCCTGTAGTGTAGCAATATATAGATAACACTGTCTTAATCTGTGTTCTTTGGCTGTTGGCCAGGAGCATCCCATCAGTGGATTTTTGTCTCTTATTTTATTCCCTATTCGACTTTAAAAAAATTCTTAAGTGTTACCCCGTTTTTCTCACAGGAGAGGCTCCAACTTGAATATTAATATTTAAGAAAGGGTGGAGTGTCCCCATGTTCTGCTTTCACTGGGCTTTGACCTGGTTGGCTTCCAATTGACTGGCCCAGGCTGCATCTCTGCTGCTTTTCAGTGTGGGTCAGCTTGTGGGGACTTTGCAGCAATAGCCAAAGCTCCCACGGGAATGTCCAACATCCTCAGTGTCTCATAAACTTTCCTCTTCCCTACATCCACATACAAAATGTGACACAAAGTCCTGCTCTCCAGGTCCTTTCCTGGGAAAGGACTGAGCTTGCTATAGATCTGCAGGGTGTTTGTTCCAGCTGGTAGCTTTTACTCAGTCTCCTGGATTGAGCCTGTCCAGCCCAAATGTGTCCTTTGTGCAGGTATGGGCCCTGGCTGTTTTGGTCTAGAAGCCTGTTCTCACTCACACCTCTCTAGATTGACCAAAGAGTGATCCAAGTTAAATAACTCTGAATTAAGCCTTTCCCCCCCCAGGGAAGGGTAGACAACAGACTGGAGGTGACAAACCAACACTTAGCCGTTGGCCACCTTATCTGGAAAAGCAAGATATTAAGGCCAGAAATGTGCAGAGATATCTACATGCTTTAGAAGCATGTTTTATTCCCAAGGATCTCCTTGATCCTTTATGTCAGCAAAGGTCAGCATCTGATGCTTGAGGTGGTGGTTTAGTCAGGCAGAACATCTTACACAAGTTCCTTTCCCTTTCCTTTGGAAATACTGGTCACGTATGAGTGAGACAGCACCAAACACTCCTCCCATTCCCTTGTGACAAAAAAAGGAGGAACAGAGCACAGAGATCTAATTTGCCTTTGATCAGTACTTTGTTTCCTTTTAATCTCCTCTTGGATCTTTGCATTTTTCTTAGCTCAGTGTCCAAATCAAAAGACAGAAGTTTTAAGAGATTCAAGTACACAGCTGGTTGTGAAATTGCTGGTGATGCTATTGAAATGTAATTTTATTAAAGATTAACTTAAAACCACTTACTCCAGTGATGATACTGCTTGTAAGTGAAAATTCCATGGGCTCCTATCTGGGCTCTTTCTGCTAATGTGTGTAAACAAATTACAACTTTCTTATTGGCAGAATGTGCCCACTGGCTTTTGTATTTTAAATTAAAGCACAGAAGAATTCCTGCATTCAGCTGATAAACTGGGACAGTTGGCAAATCCAGGGCACTGGATATTTGTCATTTACCTTGTTTACTCTGACCTGCAACAAATACTAACCAAAAATGATAAATAAAATTTCTGTTAAAATTAAGGATATTCAATTTTGAGATACTTTAATTTCCCATTCTAATGTCAGAAGGAAACACTTTTAA